CATACATGTATACATGCATATATGCATACATACATGCATAACATTACATTAACATACATACTACATAACATACATACATACATACATACATACATACATACATACATACACATACACACCCTACCACACATACACACATACATACATCCATACATCTACTACATACATACATAAATACATACATTACAATACTACATACATACATACAATACATACATCACATTACATACATACTCCATACATACATAACATACGATACATCAATGCAATGCATACATACATACATACTAGAACCACGCGCGCGCTTCGCGCGCGCTTAGGTTCTAGCTAGGATCGTCACCGTCGTCATCATGAACATCACCATCGCCATCATTCCCCCCGCCAAGGCTAATGTACATCGTTTCTGGATGCTTCTGGCCCGAATACGAAAGGAGTTTCTGTAGTTAGAGTCTCTGGGGGAAGTCGCGGGGCCCCTCAGGATACGTACGGATGCCTCTGATAATCCCCCAGCGTGCCCCACGAGATGGCCAGAGGGTGCCCGAACAGAACCCGAGCACGTCGACGACGGCGGCGATGAAGACGGCGGCGATCGCGGCGACGAAGGTAGCGGCGGTTGCCATGGGTTAGTACCCAATCAGAGCTTGCCTCTGTAAGGGTCCTGGCGGATTAACAAGTTCGATGAGGTTCGGCAAGATTCCGGCCCCATGCGGCCAGGCCGGGTGCCCGGGTGCCCGGGTGCCCGGGTGCCCGGTGCCTCGGTGCCTGGGTGCCCGGTGCCCTAATAGGACTAGAGCCCAATAGCCCGAAAAAAAACAAAAAAAAAAAAATTATCCCTATATCAATCTAGCCCTTTAGCTCTATAGCCCTCTGATCCTATAGCCCTGTAGCCCTATAGCCCCATAGCTCTACAGCCCAACAACCCTATAGCCAATAGCCGAATAGCCCACATAGCCCTATAACCCTATGGCCCTAGCCCTATAGCCCTATAGCCCTACAGCCCTATAGCCCTGTAGCCCAATAGCCCTGTAGCCCAAGTCGTTTTCATACTGAGTCGTTTTCTGACGGTCCCGGGAACCTGCGAGGGGCCCCGGAGGCCGAAAATTAACAAAAACCGCCGTCGTGATTTTTCCAAGACGTCGGAGGTCCAGGTCGTGCTTCCCGCCTCCCCAGACCTCCGACGTCGTAATTTTTGCGACCTCGGGCCCAAGAATCGATTGGGAAAACGCACATGGGAAGGCAAGAAATGATGGACCCATCATTTCGTACCTGTGCCTTGATCAGTGGGACGGGCTTCGCACCGCCGCACATGACAAGACACGCTCGAGCGGATCCAGCCGTGGCGACGTCGGGGACTGCAGAAGGTCGCAAGGACACAGAATGTGAAAGGAAGAGAGAGAAAGAGAGAAAGAGAGGGAGAGAGAGACAGACAGACAGAGAGCGAAGGAGAGAGAGAGAGAGAGAGAGAAAGAGAGATGGAGAGAGAGAGAGAGAGAGAGAGAAACAAAAAAAGACAGAGAGAGAGAGGCAGAGAGAGGAAATGGAGAGGAGGCGAGCTTGAGTCAACGAAGGTCGCAGGGAAGGGGGCAGGGGGAAGAAGGCCAGAGAGCGCTGAAGGATACAAATACTGGAACCCTCTTGGGATTTTTTGGGGGGCCTCGTCCGGCCGCTCGCTGGGAGTTTGACGTAGCTTCTCGGGAGCCTCTGAACCTGTCGGGGGCCTCCTGGAAGCAGGTTCGAAGCATTTTGGGGGCCGAGTTGGGGCTTCTCGGGGCCTCCGTTGGGCCTCTTGGGGGTCTCCTGGGGCCTCTTGAGGGGCCTCCTTGGGGCCTCCTGGCGGCCTCTTGGGGCGAAAGGCTCGAGCTTGCGGTTCGTGGTCCCCCTCTGGCCCCCTCTTGGGCCCGTTTCGGGGCCCTCTTGGGCCATCTTGGGCGCCTCTTGGGCCGTCTTGGGGCCCTCTTGGGCTGTCCTGGGGCCCTCTTGGGAGCTTCTTGGGCCGTCTTGGGGCGGTCTTGGGCGCCTCTTGGGCCGTCCTGTAACGTCGGAAAGCCCAAAAGGCAACTTTGTGAAAAATGTACGTTTTACAAAGGGAATGGGCCACATTGTGCGTCTAGAGGCCCTCTTGGGACGCATGTTGGAGGCTTCTTGGGGCCTCTTGGGGGCGTCCTTGGACGTCTGGAGCCATCTTCAGCATCTCGGAGCCCTCTTGGAGGCCTCTTGGAAGTTTCTTGGGCCGTCTTGGGCGCTTCTGGGGCCGTCTTGTCTGACCGGGGAGGCCTCCGGCAAGCCCCGACGAGCCTCCGGGCCCCCCGGAGCCCACATTTGTGGTCGGGGTCCCGGCCCCGGGCCCCTGGACCCGGTGCGCCGTTATATGTATACATACATACATACATACATACATACATACATACATACATACATACCGACCTACCTACCTATCTACATACATACATACATACATACATAGATACATACATGCATGCATGCATGCATCATACACGCATACATACACACATGCATGCATACATACATACATGCTGCATGCATACATACATACATACTACATACATACATACATACATGCATACACACATACGCACATGCAAGCATGCATGCTGCATTCATGCATACATGCATGCATGCTGCATACATACATACATACATACATGCATGCATGCATGCATGCATGCATGCATGCATGCATACATACATACATACGTACATACATACATACATACATGTGTATATATGTATATATATCAATGTATATATATATATACATGTGTATATATATATATATATACACATGCTTCCCTCCGCAATCCCACTCCCACCCCTCCCCGCCTCCCTTCCTGACGTTCCTCCTCTCTCCCCTCGTCCCCCCTTGGCTCCCCCCCCAATCCTCGTTCACCTAGTCTCTCTCGTTGTCGTCGTCGTCGTCGTCCTCGTCGTCGTCCTCCTCCCCCTCGCTCCTCCTCCTACACACCGCCCCCGTTCCTCTCCCGGTCTCTTTCCTCTGTCTCGCGTCGCCTCCTCCTCCTCCTCCTCCTCCTCCTCCTCCTCCTCCTCCTCCTCCTCCTCCTCCTCCAGACCCCCCTCCGCCCACTGCGACAGCACGTGCCCAACCCCCCCCCCCCCGCGGATCCAAGTGAATACTGCTCGTACGCCGTGAGGGTGATCGCCCGGCCCGCCGAGGCCTCGATCAGCCTGGCGGCGCCGAGAGGCGGCAGCCGTGCCCCCCATGCCTCCGTCGAATCGCGGCCTGCTCGATCTGGGGGTGCTTCTCCTCGGCTTCGGCATCCGGGGGCCGTTCTCGAGCCCCGAGGGCCGTCCAAAGCAAACAACCAGGATGAAGAAAAACTGGCCCTGAGGTTGATGCCTCTGGGGCTAGCGGGTGGGAGAAAAAGCATTCCGTCGGAGAGCTGTGTCTCGAGTGCGTGCGCACGGTACTTGCAGCCATGGCTAACTATAGGGGCCCCTCCTTTTTCCCTCCCTCTCTCCCTCCCTCCCTCGCCCTGTCCAGCGTGACATCGATCGGCGTCGACCGTACGAGAATCGGGTCGACTGCACCCGAATCGCAATCGACAAGTTCAAACACTACGACGCCAGACCTGCGGCCAGATGCCTTTCCAGCGCTCGGCCCTTCCTTTCCCAGGAAGGCATGGCGCTCACGCTACCCCAGTGAGGCACGCATCACGGCAACTGCATGCTCATCCATTACGTACTTGACGCATTATGCGAGCTAGGGTTCTCGCAGCAATCCAAACCAAACAAGCGATCACCCCTGAAAACGATATCGGGCGTCGCATCGATGTGGGCGGTCTCTGGGTCCCGGAGCGGGTTCGCTCGGGCAGCACCGCGCCGCGGGCCATCCCGACGGACGGGCCTGCCTGCTTGGGGCCCCGCGTGCCCGCGCGCGCAGCCCCTGCAGGCGCGCGAGCGTGTCACCTCCTGCGACGGGGAGGCCCTCGCGCAGGCGCCCGACACGAGACGAGCAGGCACCACGACCGCCGGCAGCCACAGCAGCACGTGCAGCAGACCGTCGTGCGAGAGGCGTCGCGCACACCGCACCAGGATCCTCAATCCCGCGCGCGCGGGCGGGCGGCTCCTCGTTCCTCGTTCCTCCTCCCGTTCCTCGTTCCTCGTTCCTCCTCTCGTTCCTCGTTCCTCGTTCCTCCTCCTCCTCCTCCTCCTCCTCCTCCTCCTCCTTCTCCTCCTCCTCCTCCTCCCTCCTCCTCCTCCTCCCCCCTCCCCCCTTCCCCCTCCCTCCTCCCTCCTCCTCCTCGTTCCTCGTTCCTCCTCGATCCCACGCGCGCGCGGGCGGGCAGATCCCCGCTCCTCCTCGATCCTCTCCTCCTCCCCGATGCCCCGCGCGCGCACGCGGGCGGGGGGGGCTCTTTTGCCTTGCTCTCCCTGCGACGGCGCTTGGCGCGCGGACGGGGATGCGGCGGAAGCTCTGCCTTCCCCCCACTTCAAGTGAGGGCGGGGAGAGAGGAGGAGGAGGAGGAGGAGGAGGGGAGGAGGAGAGGAGGAGGAGGAGGAAGGAGGGGAGTGGGAAAGGAGATGATGGGGGGAGGGGAAGGAGGGAAGCGGAGGAATGAGGAGAAGCACGGAGGAGGATGAGGAGGGGAGAGGAAAGGAGGGCGGAGGGAGCAGAGGATTTGCAAGGCTGGGAATGGGGAAAGAGGAGTAGGGTGGGGAGAGGAGGAGGAGGAAGGAGGAGGAAGGAGAGGAGGAGGACGAGGAGGAGGAGGAGGAGGAGGAGAAAGAGCAGGAGGAGGAGGAGAAGGAGGAGGAGAAGGAGGAGGAGGAGGAGAAGGAGAAGAAGAAGAAGAAGAAGAATGGGAGAGGAGGGAGTTCCGTTATACTTTTTCTTTGGGGGCCTTCGGGAACGCTGCGGGTGGGCCGTTCGCCACCGAGGGTGGTATCGAGTGCGCTGGGATCTCCTTTGGGCAGGAGTAGCTGCACGAGGAGAACGGGGGCGGTGGCGAGGGGCTCGCCGCTCACGGTGCGTCCGACGAGTTGCCGTCCACGAAGACGAAGAGGCCGTCGCAGGAGGCCACCGCGAGCATCCCTGGCGCCAGCGCGGCGGGCTGCAGGAACGCGGCGCCGGCGTCGAAGATCGACACCTCGCGCCGAGTCGTCGTCGTCGTCGTCGTCGTCGCCGCCGCCGCCGCCGCCGCCACCGCCGCCGCCACCGCCGCCGCCGCCACCGGCACCGTCGTCGTCGTCGTCGTCGTCGTAGTCGTCGCCGTCGTCGCCGTCGCCGTCGTCGTCGTCCTCGTCGTCGTCGTCGTCGCCGTCGCCGTCGCCGTCGCCGTCGTCTGCGTCGGCGTCGGCGTCGGCGTCGGCGTCGTCGTCGCCGGCGTCGGCGTCGTCGTCGTCGTCGTCGTCGTCGTCGGCGTCGTCGTCGTCGTCGTCGTCGTCGTCGTCGTCGTCGTCGTCGTCGTCGTCGTCGTCGTCGTCGTCGTCGTCGTCGTCATCGGCGGCGGCGGCGGCGGCGTCGCTCTTGGGTTTCGAACCCTCCCCGTTCCATCACCCCCGAACGCCGCGTACCAAAGATCACTCTCGCGGAAGGTCACGCTTGCGCACAGCCGAAGCACCCTGGGCACAGGGCCGTGCCGGTCAGGATCGGTGACGGCGCACGCTCACTCGGCGCCCCCCGCCCCCTCCCAGCCACGCTCTGCGCGAGGGAAGAGGGTCCTGGAGGAAAGAGAGGGTCCTGGAAAGCTTCCCCCGTCTTCGCTCTGGCACCCGGGGCCCTCCGCGGGCCCCCAGAGCGTCAGAAGAGGACTCGGGACGAAGAGAAGCAGACATTCGGCCGCTCCAACTATTTCGATGCGTTGGCCAGAGCTATGGACCACTTCCCCAGGGCCGTCTTTTCGTCCTGAGTCGTTTTTTGACGGTCCCAAGGCCCCGCGAGGGCCCCTGGAGGTCGAAATCTGCCAAAACCCCGCCGCTCCGAATTTTCTGGATCGTTGGACCTCCAGGGATGACGCCTGAGGCCCAGGGCCCGTTTCCCTCGGGACCCTTCTCCTCCACGGCGACGGACCCCGAGCAGAGCCAGTCCCCCGACGCCTGCCCGTGCCAATACCGGCCCGCTTTTTCCGAGCCGCCAGGGCGAGCCCCCCCCAACAAAGGAAGGCCTTGAGGAGGAGGACGACGACGAGGACAACGAGGACGACGAGGATGACGAGTTCCTTGATGATGATGATGATGATGATGATGATGATGATGATGATGATGATGATGATGATGATGAGGAGGAGGAGGAGGAGGAGGAGGAGGAGGAGGAGGAGGAGGACGACGAGGACGAGCTCAAAACCGATCGACCCCCCACCTTTCCTGCAGCGCTGGCCTGGCCAGGACCTCACGGCGAGCCCGGCCGCGGCGACGAGGGGCAACCAAGAGAGGCCGAGCGGGCGATAGTTTGTTTTCGGTCGGGCGTGTCCCCCTACAGGCAGAATTGTGGAGGAAACATAAAAAATACTCGCAACAAATTCAAGAATACACAAAAATAGTCAAATCATCGTCCCCTGGCTATTTTTTGACCTTTTTTGAATATTCCCCCAGTAGAGGAACGTGCCCGACTTAAAGCTTGTTCGAGGACATCCGAACACGATGACGACGGCCGCGGCGACTACGGCCCACCGTGAGAGGCCAAGCAGGCAAAGACCCTCCGAAATCCCCTAACCACGATGACGATGGCGGCGACGACGACCGCGGCAGCCGCGACTACGACGACGATGACGACAACGACGACGACGACGTCGCCGACGACGACAATGACGAGGACGGCGACGGCGACGACGATGATGACTGAACCTTCTGGTGGCCAGACGACCGCGCGCCTCGTGCTTCTTGTTGATGTGGCCGTCGTGGTTCTTGTCGCGGATGGCCATGAACTTGCCGCTCTCGTGGCCCACGTACCTCGCCCCCTGGTCCTCCCCAGGAACTCCCTCCGTCGTGCCGCAGAGGCGCGATCCGACGTCTTGGGCAGCCTTCGGCCTCCGGGGGCCACCGCTGTGTCCCGGGACCGTCATGGAGGAGATAATTGTCGTGTTGGGAGGGAGTGTGAAGATACAGGGCACGCCTGTGTAACAAGCACCTGCAACATCCGCGGTAAGATTGATGGTATGACCATTTCTCTCAGCCCCATCCTCCCGACCCGATGCTTGCCTTCCTGACTGTCAAGAAAGCAGGATGACAAGTCGTGCCGGGACACAGATCCAGACGTCTGGGGGCCGGCGACGTCTGAGATTCGGGCCTTCTGTCCTGCAGCTCTCTGTGCTCCCCGTGCCTCCGAATGCCTCGCCGCCTCGGCCGCATCCGCTCCGAGCTCCCGGTCAGAGCGCACCCCGCCGAGAGGCACACCAGGACAGACCCGGGGGACGACTCTGAGGCCTGGAAGCTCCAGGATTCCAGCGGCCGCGGGAAAAACTGCAACGGGCGCCCTTCCTCGACCCGAACCCGCGGGGGCCGTGTGCGGGGCCCGGGGGGCCGTCGGACAGCGACCCGCGACCAAAAAGCCGACCAACAGAGGAGGGCCGAGAGGTCCGGGGGGGGCCCTCTGCAGGATGACGAGCGCCTCCACAGCGGAGGCCCGACTGCCGTTGTGGATGCCTCTCCTCCTCGATGCGGCAGAGTTGCGCCCCTCACTCTGGCGGTCCCTGAAAGTTTGGGAGCATCAGGGCCTCGTGAAGCAGAAAGACCACCACTGCGGTTTTTCGGCCGCGCAGGTGGCTCCCGGGAGCGGGCCTGCACGAGCCCTGGCCCGAAGAGGGCACTGGCGAGGGGGCCTGCGGTCCTCGCGGAAGACGACCTTGCCCAGATCCTGGCTTCGACGTCTTCGAAGCCAGATTTCAACTCAAACGTTGAAAACAATCAAACGCGTTTAGAGCAATAGCGAACAACACGACGGAAACACACAACGAAAAGCACATCGAAAAACAAAGCGAGGGCCCAAACCCAAACCCAACTAAGCATCGCTGTGGTCGGTCCCTGCTCGACGATGAGGCGCACGCGCCGTCCAGCGGCCCCTCCAGCTGCATGGTCCCGCCGCCGTCCTGGGCCTCGACTCCCGCGTCGGCCAAGGCGCAACTCCGCGGCCTCCCCGGGCGCTCGCGGGCGGCCCCCGTGCCTCGCGGACGCACTCTGGGCTGGGCGAGGCTGTCCGAGAAGACGGCGGCTCCGCACGCACAGTCAGAACGTGTGTCGAGGACGGGCGGTCAGGACGCCGAGACCCTCGGAGGCCGAATTTGGGGATCTTCCGGGCGGCGTGCGACCAGGGAGAACGGCAGAGGACGGGCCGCGGAGGCCAGGACACGGGGGCACCCCGGGAGGAAGGCGCGCGCGTCCTTCCTGTAGGCGCGTTGCCCGTGCAGCACAGTGTCCCCGCACCAGCAGGCTCATGCAGGCTCCCCCGACAAACCCGCGGGCACAGCGCCGGCGGCCTCCGCACGCAGCCCACGACCACCGACTGGAGCCGCCGCCTCCCCGCCCGTGGGGCTCCGCCGCCGCTGCCGAGGGCTGCCTCGGGCCACCTCCGCCGAGGCCGCAGGCCCCCAGCGCGGTCCACGCTGCGCAGCCCGCAGGGCGTGCACGGTGCGGCCGTCGCCGGCGGCGGCACCCCGTGCGCGGCAGCCGTGGGGGGTGGAGGGGGGGCGCGCAGGCACGGATTTTAGCGATCCGTGGATTTGGCGCGCGGTCGCCAAAGCCATGGATCGGGGGAGGTGCCCTCCCCCAAAAGCGGCCGGTCCCGCCTCGCTCGGCGGCGGAAGTCCGCGATTTCCCATGGGAACGGGACCCGTCGCCAATCCACGCCCCCCCTGGATCCATGTCTGCGATCGCCTGAATGGAGGGCCGCGTTCCGCGGTGCCTATCCGGCCACGCAGGCTCAACTCCGCGTACCATCGCAGAGAGCGCTGGAAGAAGGGCTCAAACTCGATCGGCGACGCCCTCCACGCCGACCAGCATGCCGAAGGCATCCTCCAGCTCCTGCGCGCGCGCAAAGGCAGCCGTCGGACCAGAGTCTGCTGCAGCCACCGCGCGCTGCCTCGCAGCCGAGCGCTCGGCACGCGAGCGCCTCTTTACAACGGGATCGCCACCCAGCGGCGACCCCGCCGGCGCCATCGCAGGACCCATAGCAGCATCTCCCCCCAGCACTGGCCTGGACGCACACCAGCTAGCTGGTTCGAGCAATAGGGGGATCGAGGAGGAGGCGGAAGAGGAGGAGGCCTCCTGAGGAGGAAGAGGGAAGATGAGGGAAAAGGGGGGATGAGGCGGGAGGACGGAGGCGAAATGATGAAGGAGGGAGGAGGGCTGAGTATGGTGAGGGAGGGAGGGAGGCAGGGAGGGAAGGAGTCCGAAGAGGAGGCGGAGGGGGGGGGAGGCGGAGGAGGAGAAGGCGGAGGAAGGAAGGAGGAGGGATAAAGGGGAGGGAGGAGACAAAGGAGGAGGAGCCGGAGGAGAGGAGAGAAGGAGGAGAAGGAGGAGAAGGAGGAGAAGAAGGAGAAGGAGAAGGAGGAGAAGGAGAAGGAGGAGGTGAGGCATGAGGACGACGCCGACGCCGACGCCGACGCCAGCGCCAACGCCGACGCCGATGCCTACGCCGACGCCAGCGACGACGACGACGACGACGACGATGACGACGACGACGACGACGACGACAACGACGACGACGACACGCCGACGCCGACGCCGACGCTGCCGCCGCCGTCGCCGACGACGACGACGACGACGGCGACGACGACGGCGGCAGCGGCGGCGGCGAGAGGTACATGGTGCCGTCGACGTCGACGGTCGGGGTGCTCCACGGTGGGGGCTGGCAAGTGTCCCTGATCCCGAGGCGCTCCCGCTGAAGGTAGCCTTCGTCGTCGCCAGCCCCAGCGACGCGCGCCCAGGTGGGTGCCTCGTAGCTCCTGGCGATGAGTGGGAGAAGGCTTCCTCCTGATCATCCTGGTTCTCCTCCTCCATCCTGCGTTCCTCCATTCCTCCCTCCCTCCCTCCCTCCCTCCCTCTCTTCCTCCCTCCCTCCCTCCCTCCTCCTTTCTCCTCCTCCTCCTCCTCCTCCTCCTCCTCCTCCTCCTCCAACCTCCTCCTCCTCCTCCGCCTCCTCCTCCTCCTCCTCCTCCTCCTGCTCCTCCTCCTCCTCCTTCCCAAATGCGCTCGGCCTTTTGGGGGCGCTCCGGTGGGAACCCCCTCCTGGCCGCGGATGGTGCCCGAGAGGGGCCCAGGGGTCCCGTCTGAGCCCAGTGGCCGCAGGACCAGCTCCACTAAGACGAAGCCAGGACGAGGATAAACTCGGGTGGAGAGACATCGAGAATTTCTGAGATCCGGCGGCTCTGGAGGATGTCTTGGGCGCCGCG